AGGGGATTCTATTCAGATAAGGAGACGTAGAGTTGGAGTTGGTGGTTAATTTTGATCCATTCTCAAAGGGAATTGTATTCAGGTTAGAAGACGTAGAGTTTGAGTTGGTGGATAGTTTAGATCCATTCTCAGAATGAATTGTTTTCCGGTAAAGAGACATGGATTTGGAGTTGGTGGATAGTTTAGATCTATTTTCAGAGGGAATTCTATTCAGATAAGAAGACGTAGAGTTGGAGTTGGTGGTTAATTTTGATCCATTCTCAAAGGGAATTTCATTCAGGAAGGAGACGTAGAGTTGGAGTTGGTGGATAGTTTAGATCCATTCTCAAAGGTTATTGTATTCAGGTTAGAAGACGTAGAGTTTGAGTTGGTGGATGGATTTGATCCATTCTCAGAGGGGATTGTATTCAGGTAAGGAGACGTAGATTTGGAGTTGGTGGATAGTTTAGATCCATTCTCAGAGGGGATTGTATTCAGGTAATGAGACGTAGAGTTGGAGTTGGTGGATAGTTTAGATCCATTCTCAGAGAGGATTGTACTCAGGTAAGGAGACATAGAGTTGGAGTTGGTGGATAATTTAGATCTATTCTCAGAAGGAATTGTTTTCCGGTAAAGAGACATAGATTTGGAGTTGGTGGATAGTTTAGATCTATTCTCAGAGGGGATTCTATTCAGATAAGGAGACGTAGAATTGGAGTTGGTGGTTAATTTTGATCCATTCTCAAAGGGAATTGCATTCAGGAAGGAGACGTAGAGTTGGAGTTGGTATATATATTAGATCCATTCTCAAAAGAGATGGCATTCAGGTAAGAAGATGTTTGAGTTAATGGATTGTTAAGATCTATTCTCAGAACGAATTGTATTCAGGTAAGGAGATGCTAATAAATTGGAGTTGGTGGTTAGCTAAAAACTATTATCAGGGGAATTGATTTCCAGGCAAGAACACTCTGAGTTGGAGTGTATGGGTTATTTCGATCAATTCCCTGAGAAGAGTTTATTCCAGTAAGAAGTCACCGAGTTTGGGTTGGTTTATAGTTTAATGCTATTTTCAAAGAGAATTGTTTCTAGGTAAGGAAATTCGAGTTACGAGTTGGGAATAGTTCAATTTGATAGATCAATTGTTCGAGGATGTTATATTCAGTAATAGCTCATCCTAAAAGCATAAGTTATTTAATATAGTTTATTCATCTTTAGATCTCTCATTTACGCAAAAATAGCCATACGTTACATTACGCCAGTGCAGTAGGTCCGGACATAAGAAAACAGTGGCAAAACTGAAGAAGACAGTCTTCCACACTCTCCCATATCCATGCATGACATAGATATTGCCAATCCCAAATATCTGAAAATCACAAATATCTGACATCTGAAACTTACCTAATCTAATGGTACCCAAGCTGGCAAGCATTGTAGCTATCAAACTATTATTTCAAAAGTCTTGGAAATTCCAGTTTAATTCCTAGAAACATCAAATACGCTATCCAAGAATGTTTTGTTCTTGTGGTAATATGAAATGATTACAAGATACCATTAGTAAGATCACCATCAACAGACAAATTTATGACATTGTGATGTGAAGAGCTGATGTGGGCATATGAATGACATATAGGTAAGAACATTATGGTATTTCCAGTTAAATCTAAACGTCCAATAACGATGCAAAATACAGATTCACATGAGTGTATTTGCATAACAATAAATCAAATTGTTTTGCAGTCCTAGAGATAGCATAATGTCGAAATATGGTGTATGAAATATGGTGTTTGATAAAATACTATGAGTAGTTGTGTCTGCACAATTGTAAATACTAGTCCTTTTCTAGGCAATTGGCCAACATGCAAAAAGACAATGGCTGATTAAAGGTACTGAAATTTTAAAACAGTTAGAAGAATTCACATGGGAAGTGGGTAGCTTTCCTAGTCATACAGTTAGACACATTGAATGGAGTAAGTGAATTGCCAAGCAACTTTCAAATTGACAGAACAATAACTGCTGTTGCTGCCTGCTGTCAAAAGTTGCTGACATCCTTTCCGAACATCGTTCAGGGCAGGAATACAACATAATTACTGTTACAGTGATGGCATGACTCAGTAGTAAGGGAGCATCAGGTCTTGTACAACAAATAATGGTAAAAGGTTTGCAGACCAATTAGACAATTATGTTGGCAATTTAAGGCACTTGAAGAGTAAACTGAACGCATCAG